ACAACTTTTCAAAGTTGAACTAGCAACTCCACCCCAAGAATCTATCCTACAGATATACTCACATGTTTGTTTTAAGATATAAGAATGATGATATTCATCAAAGGACAAAAATCAACAGAGTGACAAGGCAACCTTTGGAATGGGAGAGAGTATTTGCAAATCATATGGTTGATAAGGGGTTAATATCCAGAGAACTCCTACAACTCAACAACAAAAAGTAAACAACCCAATTTTAAAATGGGCATAGGATTGAATAGACATTTCTCCAAAGAAGATGCCCAAATAGCCAACAAATACATGACACAGATGCTCAATGCCACGAATCATTAAGAAAATGCAAATCAAAACCACAGTGAGGGGCTTCCCTGGTGGCGCAGTGGTTGAAAGTCCGCCTGCCGATTCAGGGGACACGGGTTTGTGCCCCGGTCCGGGAAGATCCCACATGCCGCGGAGCGGCTGGGCCCGTGAGCCATGGCCGCTGAGCCTGTGCGTCCGGAGCCTGTGCTCCGCAATGGGAGAGGCCACAACAGTGAGAGGCCCGCGTACTGCAAAAAAACCACAGTGAGATACCATCTCACACTCATTAACGTGGCTAACTATTAAAAAAAAAAACAGAAAATAAGAAATATTGGTGAGGATGTGGAGAAATTGGAACCCTTGTGAACTGTTGGTGAGAATGAAAAATGGTGTCGCTACTATGGAAAACAGTATGGCAGTTCCTCAAAAAATTAAAAATAGAATTACCATATGACCCAGAAAATTCCACCTCTGAGTATATACCCAAAATAATTGAAAGCACAGTCTCAAATATAAATGTTTACATTCATGTTTGCTACATAGTAGCACTTTATTCACAATAGCCAAAAGGTGAAAACAAACCAAGTGTCCACTGATGGAAGGATGAATGGATAAATAAAATGTGGTATACATATATAATGGAATATTATTCAGTCTTAAAAAGGAAGGAAATTCTGACACATGCTACAACATAGATGAAACTTGAGGACATTATGCTAAGTGAAACAAGTCAGTCACAAAAAGACAAATATTGTATGATTCCATTTATGTACCTAAATAGATACCTAAGTAGTCAAATTCATAGAGACAGAAAATAGAATGGTGGTTGCCAGGGGCTGAGGGGAGGACAGAATGGTGAGTTATTATTTAATGGGTATAGAATGAGAGTTTTGCAAGATGAAAAGAGTTCTGGAGATTGTCACAACAATATGAATGTACTTAACACTACTGACCTGTACAGTTAAAAGTGGTTAAGATGGTAAATTTTATGTTATGTGTATTTTATCACAATTTTTTTTAAAAAGGATAATGGTGTTACAGTAATCATGAAAAACAGAAAACATGCAAATCCTTCAAATGGAAAACAGTTATTGAATAGAATTCCATGCAACCACTGAAAAATGTTGTATATATAAAGTTATTAACTTGGAAGGATGTCCAGGATCTATGTTTTGAGTCAAAAAGCAATTTTCAGAGCAACATGCTTATATTGACTGTATTAGTTTGCTAGAGTTGCCATAACAAAGTACTACAAACTCGATGACCTAGAACTGTAGAAATGTATTGTCTCACAGTTCTGGAGGCCAGAAGGCTAAGACCAAGATGTCAGAAAAGTTAGTTCCTTCAGAGGACTGTGAGGAAGAATATGTTTCATGCCTCTCTACTAGTTTCTGATCGTTTACTGGCAATTTTTAGTGTTCCTTGTCTTTTAGACAATGCGTTACCTGAATCTCTCCCTTCATCTTCACATAGTATTCTCCCTGTGTGCAGGTTTATCTCTATGTCCAAATTTCCCTTTTTCATAAGGACACCAGTCATATTGGATTAGGGGCCCACCCTACTCCTGTATGACCTCACCTTAACTAATTACATCTGCAGCAAACTTATTTCTAAATACGGTCACATTCTAAGGCATTGGGGGTTAGGAGTTCAATATATGAATTTTGGGGGTACACAATTCAACCCATAACAAGGACCTTGTTTTATTCTTACTAGAAAAGCTATACACATGTACATATGCATATGTGTATATAAGTGGGTAGATGCATATATGAATATATCAAGGACTGAACGGTACACATCAAACTGCTAACTGGGGTTACCCTCTAGAAAATGGTGGGGAGTGAGGAGGGTGGGTGGGCAGTATTTATACTTTTAATCTCCACACTTTTGAATTGATTGAAAAATGTTCAACGGGCATGTGTAACTATTGCAAATTTAAGCAAGCAACTTATAAGTTTTTAAGGCACCTTATAGGTGTTCATCAAGGTATATAGTTAGGTTGCCTTGAAGAGAAGTGAGAACTACAGCAATTAGGTGATCCAAACTTGTTGGAATACTTTTCAGCTATCAAAGTGCGAAACAGTAATATTTCATATGTTCCCCCCAAAAAGGGCTTATGAGTCAGCGGCAGAGTGGAAATAGCACTGTACTTGGAGTCCAGAGAGCCAGAAGGAGCTCCATTTCCGGCACTAGCTGGCTATGTGACCTTAGGTTCTTAACTGCATTGGCATTTGCACTTTCATCTTTAAATGTTTCTGTAAATTCCAGATATGCAGTCCCTTGGTCTATGTTTATTCCTATCTGGCTTATACATGCATGTTTTATGTCACAACAAAATTTGACCGAGCCTAAAAATAGCCAACCATCACTTCTAGACAAAGATCTGAACACAGAGGCCATTGATTTGAACTGTGTGCTTGAAGGACAGCATGTAGATGATCTGTTATATAATCAGGTGGCCTGATTCTTCCACTCTGCCTCTGCAAAATGTCTATGCCACCCTTTGCTATTACTGTGGGAAGGACAGCTTCCACTGCAGACCTATATAACAGAGTTGAACCCCACAAACCTACGTCAGTCTTTCAGAGCTTTCCTTCATTCCTCCGTTCAATCAGGAAATAATTATTAAGTACCCACTGTGAGTCAGGACAATAGCAGGCCCTGGGGATTCATTGATCAGCAGAATAAACAAGGTCCCTATTCAGCTGAATGAGGTCAAGAAAACACATAATTACAAGACAATGTGGAATGTGTTTCGGTAAAGGAATTGCAGTGTGCTCAAGGGATTCCAGTTCTCTGAGTTAGGGGCCCCTAACTCAGACAAAGTTTTCGAAAGACTTCTTTCCACAGAATTGCATCAACTCAGCTTTGAAATCATGAGTTAGGTAATTTTGCCCACTACTGGCTTTCCAAGAATTCTGTCTTTCATTTGGGTCTGTGGTTGCTGGGGAGAGGCAAGGCCCAGGAAGGGAGTAACCAAGCCCCTGTTGTTCAGCTGCCCAATGAAGAGAAACAATGGCGTCTCTGACTGGGAGGCATTCTTCCAACTTCCCGGATGGTGCCATGTTTTCACTCAACGTAGGAGAATCCACTCTGCCAAGTTCAGGTGTAAAAGGGGTCAGATATTTGATCACAAGGCCTGAGCATAATGAGAAATACTTACTCCTTCCTCATCAGAGTCAACATCTATCACAGCCCACTCCTCAGTTTTACGAACCAGTACATCAAACACAAAGTTTCTCTTTGAAAGTCTATATGACATTCTGAAAGTCTTTGGAGGGCACGTTTGCTAGTTTCCTCAGGCACAGCACATGACAAGGTGATATGGCTCTGGTGTCTCTAAGTCCCCTCAGAATTCTTGTTTCCTGTCCCCATAAGGCTTCTCTACGTTGACCTGCAGAGCTCAAGCAAATATACAGTTGTGTTTTGTAACATTTTTTAAAAGGAATTCTGATCAAAGTGGTAGTGGTAATATTTTGTTTTGTCTTGTCACTGCAATAAGCTCTACAAATTTACTAAATCCCAATGTAAGCTGATGTCTGACTCTTTGACATCTTATTTTCCAGAAATGCCCACTGTCATTTTTTTTCCATGGAAAATCTACACTAGAGGAAACAAGCTTGATAAAAAGGGGATGGAGATGATGAGATTTTTTTTCCCACAGACAAGGATATACCTGTATCCCTTACTGAAGCCAGGTTTCTTTGGAATTTTTAAAAATACGGACAATTTTTAAAAATTTCCTCATGCATCTAAGAAAAAACAATTGGTTAAGTTTTTTCCTAATCCTGCTTCAATTCTATAAATTCCTGTACCACAATTTTCTGCATACAATGGACGTTTCATCACAGTTCCTTGATTTGGAGGCTCCAAAATCAAAAGGCCTACCTCTAATTACCAAATATTCACTGCATATAGCAGCAACCTCAGACCTCAGTCTATCCATGGGATCTATGTAGAATTCTATCACACTGAATGAATAAGTACATCCTCCCACCATAGAAAGGATGTGGTTATGTAGAATCCAATGTGCCACTATACTATTGCCTGCTTTTTATTTATTATTTGTTTTACCCCACTTGAATGTAAGCTCCAAAGAGCAGGGTCTTTATTTTGTTCCCTACCTGGTGTCTCCCCAAGGCCTGGAGCAGTGCCAGGTACAACATAGGCCCTCAACTACTATTATTGAATGAATGACTATAACAAGGTTATTTTTCTCCAATGGCAGCTCTCAGACTGGCTCTTCTGAATCATCTTTATCCTTTGATGACATCTTGGCTAGATTCTGTAACTTTCTAGTCACTTTCAGCAATGAAAGGCTCAATCCAGTTTAAAACCTCAACCTCAAATCCAGTGCAAATCTTTCTTTCTCTGTCTCTGCTCTTCCACTCTTCTTCCCAGCTATGGATGCTGGCATGACCCAGCTCTCGTTTTAACACCCTTTTCTCACTCCCCTTTATGGAGGCCTAGCTTTTGAAGTGTTTGGGGTAGGAGGAGGGAGAAGAAATGGACCAGCTTTTTTTAACTTAACCTCCTATAGTTGAAGTACTTTTTCTATTGATTAAAGCATCTTTGCTGGGTAACAGGTACCTTCTATGAAGTCCACCTGAATCCCAAGAAACTAACACATCCTCACCACCAAAAATGGAAATGGGAGCCATTCCATGTCCTTTCGTCCTCCTTGGTATTCCCATCTCTCAGATTAGAAATCCAGGGTGCCAGGCTTCCCTTCTTGCAGGAATTCTCAACTTATTATAAGAGAGGTTCGTGAAGCCCCCCGCCTTTCTGGCCCCAGCCTCTCACTTGGCTTTGAGGAGTGGAAAGCACCCACCATCTCCCTCCCTCCCCCAGGAAGAGCTTCTCACCATGAACACACTCTCCCTCACAGGCTGATGTTCTCAGTTCCCAACCCTTCCCATCTTCTTATACTTTCTCAGATAGAGTGGGGTGGGTGTGGGGGGGAGGAATAAGGAATGTTAAGTATGGTTGCCTTGGGGCTGGCACTTTGGGGGTCTCTCTCAGTAAAGCCACACTGAGGTGTGAGGAGAAACTGGTGAGTCTTTTTAGATTTACCACCTTTTTGTTTCCCACTGGGACCCTACACATCGACTTCAATGCAACAGGAAAAGTCCTATCAACATCCTGTTATTTCTGCTACAAAAATGACTGTCTATCTTTTAAATTTACACCTCTCTCCAGGCCTGGTATATGCCTTGTTCTGTAGCAGTTACGGAGACATTCAATAGATATTTATAAAATTCTTAATACAGGATGAGGTACTTGAGATGTTGACCAGAAATTCTAAACTTCAACCTGAAAGCTGCTGAAAAAACCTTATGGGAATCAACGTTACAAATCCTGTTGAAACCACAGAGACTTCAGACCCATGCAGGAATTTCTAAACCCCACTCCAAACGTTTATAGGATTCAGGGCTGGGATTCCCCAAATGCTCCAATCATCAGAAAATCTCCCATATGAAGAAAGAACAGGGACAATATTTTTTTAATTAAGTACATGCTTAGGGAGAAATTAAAAACAGAAACATTTGATAATGAGGCAGTCTTTTATCTCTGTTTGCTGCAAGCATCTTGGGCTTCAAAATGTCTCACTGGCTACTGAAACCTAATGTCACCAGAGTCCCAAAACAGATATATTTTGCCACAAATCTCAGATGCTTAGGAATCCTCCTCCTTGAGATTCGATTCATATTGTGTGCCTTGACACTGAGTTTTCTCTCTGCCACAACTCAGAAAAAGTTGGTGGTCTATATGGTTTTGCTTTCACATTCAGAGTTTCACCAGCTTTCTTGGATCCTCGATTATCACATTAATTGCATCCCTCTGTAATATATGCATTCAGGGAACAAAAGTTCAGATCAGTGTGGAAAGTTATTGGGAAGGGTAGATTAATCTAATTTTGTTGGTTTCAACTTTCCATTGAAACTTGTTTCCCGTCATTATATAAACCAGTTTCCCTCTCTGTACTTTCCTTGCTCTCTCAGTAATAAGGGACATCTACTTTTCTCAAACAAATACTATGGCAATTTAATTGAAGAATAGATGTAAAACAAAACTTGCAGTTTATGGAAGAAATCTCCTTTCTTCCAGCAAAAGTTCTGTAATTAACCATACATCCTTTGGGAGATCTTAACCTCTAATCTTAATTTTCCTCATCTGTCAGTTTAAGGCCAGGCTCATGTATTGTCCATTTATTGTCTATTCTGTACCATGTTCTATGGAGAGCATTTATCATGTTACTATTTTATTTTGTATTCAAAATAACTCTATATAAAAGGAATTATAATCTGCATTTTGTAGATGAAGAAACAAATTTAGAAGGTTAAGTAATCTGCATAACATGTGGCTTGGCCAGTCAAAGATAGAACCTGAATCCAAACCCTCATTTCTTTAGTTCTAAAGCCCTAATTCTAATTGCTGTAACATGCTATCACCTAAATGAGCTCTGAGATCCCTAAACTATTCCTTCAGGTTCTATGTTCTGAGCCATGGAACTATTTCATGTCATTGCAAGAGGCATTATTGGTAAATTATTATTCCTGGCTTTATATAGAATAAAAACTAGTATACCTCAATATTTTGTAACTATTTTTGTATTGTGAATGGTGGAGAAAAAAGAACTATCAGGTAGCTTCATCTTCTTTTTCTTCCAAAAATATTCTACCTAACCAAACGTTTTTTTCTTTTTTTAAAGACTCCCTCAAATAGAGATGATACAGCCTTCCTTAGAAGACCACCTATTGCTTAATATTGGGAAAAAGAGTTTTTCTCTGTCTGGTGTGGCTCCCTTCAATTCTAATTTATTTTCCGTACATCAGAGTGAATTTGATCATTGTTACTTATCCCTTTCTTCTGGTGGGAAATAATAGGACAGGATGTGCTTAAGGGGAGATATAAAAATATTGTATTGAGACACCACAAGGAATGTTAATTCTTTCTTGCAGTCAGTGTTTTAAGGGGTGTCTGTACAGAGTAAAAATAGATGGACAGATGAAGAGTGCAAGTCCTATGTAAAAGGAAAGTATTCATCTTCTACTCTTCTTTTAAATAACAAAATTTCAATATCATCCGTGCCTAGGTTTTCTGGACTTGGAGAAATAACACTTAAGGAAGAGGGTGGAGAGGAAGGAAAGGTAGGTCCAACTGATAGTTAACTGATTTCATCAAGAATTATCTAATGTGCTTAATAAGAATTATCTTCTCCATATGTGCTGGCCTAGAAAATGAAAAATGTCTTGTCCATCAGTCTTTGAAGAATTGAATCATCATTTTCCTATCAGCTAAACACTCAGTGTAAGAAAGAAACATTTGAGAAGATAATACAGCAAATTTTAAAAAAAGATAGAAATGAATGAGAATTTGTAGACCTTTTTTTCACTTTGGCAAAGCTATTATAGATAGTATTTTTTCGAGCATCTGGCTAAAACAAAACAAAGGTTTCCTGTCAGCATAGAAAAAGCAATTCCTGTCTAAAATTGTGTTATCTGTTTTTTAGTCCACTTAGTTAAGAAAGCTGCTAAATGTCATGCTACATGTCATCAAATGCCCTTTATAAAACTGATTTCAATTTTTCATGGGTTCATCCAGTTTTTGTGTTCTCACTATTTAATCCTTTAGGGCTTTTTTTAATGAGAGTCTTCATTTCTAAAAGTCAAAGATACACTATTCTTGCTATAATTACTTTTTGCACATCACAGTTAAAAATATACCAGAATATAAAAATCCATTGAAGATCAAGTCATCTACTAAAATATAATATGGTCTCACACATATCACTGACACGTACTTTTAAAGAGAAAAACTGAGATATGGAAACTGCTTGAGTTGAATTGAGCTATATTAAGTCTGACCCTCTAATTTTTCACATAGAAAACCTGAGTCTCGAACTTGAATGAAATGTAGATCGCAAAGTTAGTAGTGGAAAGCTGACATGAGCCTGCTTCACTACTACACTGTTCAAAAAATATTTAACTAGTTATTCTGTGCCAGGTGTAGTGTTAGGTTTTGATGATTCAAAAGTGAAAAAGACAGGGTGTTCAGTCTGAAGAATCTTATAATCCAATGGGAGAGTAAAGTAAATAAATTGATAAGTAAGTTTTTGTGTAAAAAGTAACTTACACACTTAGTAGCTTAACAAATTTACATTTATTATCTCACAACTTCAGTGGGTCAGAAATTGAGTATTTTAGCTGGATCCTCTGCTTCAGGGTCTCTTACAAAGTTTCAATCAAGACATCAGTCAGAGCTGAGGTCTTATCTGAAAGCTCAACTGGAGAAGGATATATTTTCAAGCCCATGTGGTTGTTGGCAGGATTTAGTTCCTTGTGGTCTGTCAGACTGAGGTCCTCAGTGTCTTGCTGGCTTTTGTCTGAAGGCCATCCTCAATACCTTGCCACGTGGACCTCCCCAACATGGTTGCTTCTTTTATCAAAGTGTGTAAGTCAAAAAGGCAACAGTGAGAATCTGCTAACAGGATGGAGGCAGGGATAATTGGGGGCCATCTTAAAGTTTATCCACCACAGAATTTTATAGTAAAACATGACAAATGTTGTGAAAGAGAAAGGCACAGGGGTAGTGGGAGCACAGGAGATAGGATCTAAACCAGACTAAGGAGGCTGGGCTATCATTTGAGTTGAATTTTAAAGGATGAGGAGTCATCAGATCAATGAAGAAGGAAAGATGGTCATTCCAGGCAGAAGTAGGGCCTATAAATACGTAGAGGCATTAAAAAGTACATTTTTCATGTCTTTGTAGGTAAGTTGGAATGGCACAATATTAAATAATTAGGAAGGATGCTTTTTGCTTAGGATCAGCAAATTTTAGAGTTGAAGACTCCAGATGGAACAACTAAGGCTCAGAGATATTAAGCCTAGCACATGGTAGATATTTAATAAATGTTGAACAAATTAATGAAATGTCTTTGTAGCACTAGAAATGAGCTCCCACTCTCATACCCCAAACAGTAACCACATAAGTCAGCCTCCATATCTTTAAGAAAAATAGGAAAGATAAAATTAGAAGTGCTGGGAGATAGATAGAAGAAAAGTATGTTTTATAGTAAAAAGAATTCTAGAGACAGCCAGAACCTACTGGAAAAGAAACAGAAAGTTAGATTTCAATTCTAATTTCTATTCATAGAAGTGAAAATAAAAGGGGAATTGCTATGGTGTGATACCAGCCAGCTCTTTGGGGAAACAAACAAACAAAAAAGCTTTACAGGCATATAGGTAATAATGAAATTTTTGCAACTAATTCTTTCACTTCATTCCAAAGGAAAAAAAAGTTTTCCAGAGTCTTTTTCTTGAACTTACCAAACTGCTATACAATTTCTGACTCAAACACAATCCACCACCTCTAGGATCCAAAACAGAGATGGCTTATATTTCACATATTTATATCAGGCTTAACATTTTTTTCCTCGGTCTGAAATATACACATGTTTTATATTTCAGCTGAAGAGCTTATTTTCCAAATGAGGTTAAAAAAAACCCAAGGCACTATCACTCTGACATTAGCAGTAGTTACCTAAAAATATATATATATATTTTAAGTCATAACCATTTTAGGAAGTTTTTGAACCAAAGAGGAATTTGAGTAATAATCGTCATATATCTTGTTGCATGTCAGGTATGATTGCCTGAAATGCGGTGAATGGAACTACACATTTATGATTCTTTCATTCATATAAAGTTAGCCTAATGTTAGTCAAATTTAGTCATCCTGTTGTCCCATGCTTATGGGTAAACCCACTTGGAACCAGCTTTTGGAGAGAAAGCAGGGGACTGTTAAATCTATCAGTGAAGAAGATACCCTCTTTTCAATGCCTCTGGAGATGCTGGATTGTTTGCCTTCTTTACTTCTCAGTGTGGCACACCCAGTCTCTCCTGTTGTGTGTGTGTGTGTGTGTCTGTCTGTCTATCTGTCTGTGTGTGTCTGTGTCTGTGTGTCTGAGTCTGTGTGACCGGTGGGGAGGGAGTGTTTAAAAAGTGTAATTCCTTTTTATCAATTCTCTACAAATCTGCAACCAAAATCCTTGAGGAAAAACATTTTAAAGAATATGGAGCATGTATTAATATATTTAAAATAGATAACCAACAAGGACCTACTGCATAGCACAGGGAACTCTGCTCAATATTGTATAATAACCTAAATGGGAAAAGAATTTGGAAAAGAATAGATACATGTATATGTATAACTGAATCACTTTGCTGAACACCTGAAACTAACAGAACATTGTTAATCAACTATACTCCAATATAAAATAAAAAACGAAAAAACAAAAAAGAATATGGAGCATGAATCAGGGGGAAGGAAGATGATTTAAAAGGAATAGGAGTAAAATTATTTTTTAAATATGAAAAAGTAAAGGTAATAATTAAGATGTATGTGATATCAAAACCTTCTTTGAGAGTATTATAGAAAAGACAATTCTTCAGATGCTTTACAGCTCAGAAACATTTCTTAATTTCTTTGATGAGAGGATGTTTTAAAGTAGAAAAGTTAAAACTCTTGACTATGTACACCAAGTTTTAAGAGGAGTAAGTACTCAATTATCTAGACCATCTCTCCCAAATCTGCTACAAAAGTAAAAAGCAGGACTTTGGGAATTTTGGCTATTCATTTGATTGTCTTCTCTATAGAACATCCTAATTGAATTATATGGAGTTATCCACTTTAGAGCCTGAGATCTTTTAAAGAGAAAAGACACAAGTAATCTGGAACTATTGATACCTGAAGGGCTCCACAGAGGCAGTCAGAAAATTAATCCATAGGGAGTCTCCACAGCTCAGAGCAGGAAAAATTAATTAAACTTCCACATTTCCAGAAGAGCTATTGAAAAGAGAGGTAGAAAACCTATTCTCTATTTCAATATCTAAATTTCTTTTTTTCTAATTGAAGTATAGTTGATTTACAATGTTATGTTCATTGCAGATGTACAGCAAAGTGACTAAGTTATACATATATATACATATTCTTTTTCATATTCTTTTCCATTATGGCTTATTACAGCATATTGAATGTAGTTCCCTGTGCTATACAGTAGGACCTTGTTGTTCATCTATTTTATATATAGTAGTTTGTATCTGCTAACCCCAAACTCTTCATTTATCCCTCCCCCACCCCTTTTCCCCTTTGGTAACCATAAATTTTTTTTTCTATGTCTGTGAGTCTGTTTCTGTTTCGTAAATAAGTTCATTTGTGTCATAGTTTAGATTACACACGTAAGTATTATCATATGGTATTTGTCTTTCCCTTTCTGACTTACTTCACTTCATATGATAATCTCTAGGTCCATCCATGTTACTGCAAATGGCATTATTTCATTCTTTCTTATGGCTGAATAGTATTCCATTGTATATACGTCCCACATCTTCTTTATCCATTCATCTGTCAATGAACATTTAGGTTGCTTCCACATCTTGGCTATTGTAAATAGTGCTGCGATGAACATAGGGGTGCATGTATCTTTTCAAATTGGAGTTTTCTCTTGGTATATGCCCAAGAGTGAGATTGCTGGATCATATGGCAAGTGTATTTTTAGTTTTTTAAGGAACCTCCATACTGTTCTTCATAGTGGCTATACCAATTTACATTCCCACAAACAGTGTAGGAGGGTTCCCTTTTCTCCACACCCTCTCCAGCATATGTTATTTGTAGGCTTTTTAATGATGGCCATTCTGACCAGTGTGAAGTAGTACCTCATTATAGTTTTGATTTTCATTTTTCTAATAATTAGCTTCAATATCTAAATTTCTTATATGTAGGTGACATTGCTTCTTCTTTTATATAAAAAATAACTATTACTTTGATTTACAGGGAGGATTTTTGTACTTCCATTAGATGTATATTGGAACTACTCTTTCCTGTCTTCCATGTTTTCTTAACTTCTCTGATATTTTCCATCTCCTTATCTCTCTGGTCTTCATTCTGAGTGCTTTCCTTATGCCTTCAATTTATCTAGGTTTTTGTTTAACCCATCTCTTGGGTTAGACTCTAGTTGTGTTTCTGCACTACTTGGGTTATTCAAACTCAGGTCCCACAAGAAGCCTGGATTTGGACTTGCAATTTCCACCATGGCCAGGGAAGATGATCTGTTTCCAAGCCATATCCCCATGCTATATCCCAAGCCTGC